ACGTAGTTTATCTTGCAATAAGTTTATTCACTTACATTTCATCAAACAACATTCCCTAGACAAACTTCTTTTGGTCTGCGCGAGAGATACTTGAGAATCTTGATCAAGAAAGTCATGCGCTATGGACAAAACTTGAGGCAAGATTTGAGACCTTATAGCGAGCTCAAACTCTTGAACTTCTTGTTCTATCGCTTGATATTCTTGCTCATGTGCTTGAAATTCTTGCCCATCCGCTTGAATTCCCATCCAAGCGTTTCTGTTATTACGGAACTTTTTTAGTGTTTTTTTTCAATTTTACGTTCAAGAATAACTCAACTTTTAATAAAAATTCATTCTTGCATTTTCTTCAGTTGAGCGCATCAGTTTCTTATAACTCATGCAAACACTCAAGCGCTAGTTTTGAGCAAGAAAGTCATGTGCTATGGACAAAATTTGAGGTCTGCACAGGTCAAGAGCATGAAAAAAAAGTTCGCCTAGAGTTACTATAAGAATGCAACAATGAGTAAATGATTTTGCAAGAAATTGCTCTTGTTTCATGTGAATCATCATTTATCGTTCTGCTGAGCTTTTTGTTACATCATCGACTTTTATTTTCATTTTCTTTCTGTTTTTTATACAGTTTATTCTTACTCTTGTTGCACAAAAGATCAATGTCTTTTGTTTTGTTTACATAGGTATGCACATTTTATTCTTCTCATCTATGACACTAATAGTTGTTCTCTTGTCGCGTTCTTGAATTCATAAAAGAAAGCGAAGACACCAAATACAAAATTAGAGATGTGGGTTTGTGTAAAGCAGTCAGAAAGCATATCGATCTGTCTCTTAAAGAAAAGAAAGATTCAATCTGCTAGTCTCTCCTCTTGCTTTTCAACGATCAACCAAGTCGAGTTTCAAAATATGACAAAATCATGAATTATTGTGCTTTGTTTAGAAGATTTAAATAAATGTAGGATTAATTTCACTGATACGTTTCGTGTTATTTATTGAAATATAAGTATTCATCAGAGCTGTGTATTACATTTACTAGTACTGATAGTAAAATACGAAAGTATAACAGAAATTTAAATATAAAAATAAAGATAAAAAACAAAACGATAAATGGGAATTAGTACTGAATACTTCTTCGAAAAGGACTGCATTTGAAAATATTTATCGTTGAAATAAACATTTTAATCAAAACATCATTTTCTGATAGAATTTATCGAAATGACGTAAACTTGATAAGATTTGAAATCACGAACTTCTGTTTTTTGAATCGTTGGATAGTAAGTTAACATTTAGTTCATGCCAATATTTGGTCAGATCGCAAATATTTTTATATATTAAATGGAAAAAATACCGACCTATGTATTAATTCAAGGACGGTATATAATCAAGTTATAATCATATTCAAATACATGATGATGACAAAATATTATCACTGGTATTGGACGGATTCTTACATACTTTCCTTAACCGACGGCTTGAACTTAAAATTAAATCATATGCTGCGATAAAAAATACAATATAATTTGATACAAAATAAATCCAGTGATAACATATTAAACTACGTTTGAATATAACGAAACTAGTGTTAGATCAGATCATATGTGAATTTATTAATGAAAAACCAAATTATATTTCGATAATTGAAGTTAATTCATATTATAAAAAAAGTAATGCAAAAGCAGACCACATTTTCGCACCAGTAAATTGGGTATGGATGTAGATGTGGCTGTGGGTGTGAGTGTGGGTAGGGTCCTGTATCAACATCCACATCCACACCTACTCTTCTCATGATAAGACTGTCTCAATACTTTTTAGATAGGACATTTCACAACTTTAATAGCACTTATGTTATGAATACAACATTGAAGACAAGCAATTCGTCCAATACTGCTATGCCAAGTGGATATCTTGATTTATTCGAATAGAAACTGATTTTTGAGAAGAAAAAATGTATTTGATGAATCGCCTTATGGATCAAAGTTTATACAGTTGATTGTTCGATAGAAGATTGAATTATTCTTTGACGTTTTACTTCCACATTTAATAGTCTACCCGATCAAAACATAGAATCGGTTTCTACCATTTTTATGAGTTGTAATGTCATATTCGCTACATCTGCGTTTAAAAATAACATAACCAATTAAGTTGTGAGCATTGGAATGTTTATCTAAATCGACATTCACCTGCACCCATACCCTCTGAATACTCTTCTTACCAAGGTTCGCACCCAAACTCAACTGTTCATTGTTAAATTGTTATTTTTACGGTACAATACAATATATTTTTGACATCTCTAACATAGCGAATAGCAATTAAAAACTGTAGACATAGATGTAGAACATGCGAGTGTATTCTTGACTTGTGGGGTAGATTCGAAGCATGAATTATATTATTACAAAACAAAAAAGATCAATATAAGAAGAGTCTGAATAAGAACCGCTGTGAGAATTAAAATCACATAAAGAGCAAGAAGATTGTTTATTTGTTCACAGTTTGCATTTATTAGTTCGCCCGCTTGAACCAACGACATGCTTTCGCCGGACCACAAGTCATTTCCTATTATGAAATATTAAAAAACATGATTAAAAATAGCACTCACTTACCACTTGTTGTAGTCCTTCGTCATTAACAAAACGTTTTACAACCGTTTCCTTTACTTTCGTGTCTGTTATTTTCTGAATCCAAGTTCCATTTTCAAAAACAATAAGTGTCTAAAAAAATAGTTTTAGAAAAAAAGAAAAATCAATATAGATGCAAGCATTTCATAGTAAAAATGTGAGATAAGAAAATTCACCTGTACTTGCTGTCCACCAGGAGTGGTATCTGTAAATTCAACACCAGGAGTAAAAGTACTTGTTTGAGTTTTTAATGCTGTTTCAGTACGTATTGTCCAGACACCATCTTTTTCACTGATTACTACACGTGGATTCGAACGTGTTGCCATCATACGAATAAGCATAGGAACACCCACCTCTTTCAAGAAATCATCTAAATTTTCACTGCGAACCTGTAAGAATAGAATGTAACATGATATTATGATGAGATGAGGATAATACAAGTCATTTGTAATATTTACATGATCCCATGTTCCTATGAGCGATTCAATAGTATTGCTGCTAGCCATATCTTCCTAAAAATCACGCAAAAAAACAACACATGAAATTTACAAGAAAACTCGTATTTATTTTCTTTCTACCACTGCAGCATATATACTGCATCTATGAAAAGAACACGTGTTATAAAATCAAAATAGATAAAAACCCAATGAAGAGTCTAAGATACCTCCATTCAGGAGTACGCACATAAAAAAAGTAAAGAATCATCATAGATGCTGTCTTGTATATTAAATGAATAGAGAACGAAAAGCAAACACGTGAATGAAGCACAAGCAGAACGCTCTATCACGTCCTACATTTTATAATTCAACGTAATTTTAAAAAATGCATCTTTATAGAAGTTGTAGCACAAATGTCCTGATCCAAATAGTTGATAAAAGTTCAAAGATTTTTATGCAAAATTAGAGTTCGGATAAGTGAAAAATTTCGGATGACTCTTTTCGTCATACACACACAGATATCACATTCACAGCTACCTTTTCACACATCTTACGCTTCATTAATTTCATTTTCATATTCAAAGCGGAATCAATATATATATATTTTCAAGTGAACTAGTACTACGGTAAATGACAAGTATTTCTTCAAAACATACACATTAACAAGCTCTTATCAAGGACTAATTAAAATTCTACTACGTTCTTAGAACTCATCATTATCTCTGCATGTACAATCGTCATAACTCACATAACCTAGTCTTTTCCTAGAGAAAGACTGAGTATGTAGGTTAGATATGGTATCCATCAAAAAACAATTCACAGGACACGCTACAGTAAGATAAACTGGACTAAATCGAACAAGTCTTAATCGAAATATCAAATAAACTGTCAGGTTAGATTTATCTTTTCGATTACAGAAAATTATAAACTATCCAGAGAACTTTATCCAAGTACAAAATTAACTACAGAAGCTCAGATAAGATCATTTTAAATTACAAAAAAAAATCAAGTATAAAATAAATTAATTTTTTTTAAAATTAAAACTAAAATGAATTTGTACGACCCATATAAACTGTATGATATCATGTAAAAGAAGATTCACATTATTTTAAAGTGAACGACAGTCTTTGTAGTCTTTTTCTCGAGGGTATGGAAGACGTTTCGGGCTGGTCCTACTGCTAGTCTTTAATTAGTTTTTTTTCTTCTTATTCGAATACTTGATAATATTCATTTTTATTAATAAGCAGAGCGAAAATTAGACGTCACCTGATATTAACAGCAATTTTCTTCAAGATGTAGAAACTTTTTTTTTACTAAACCGAATGAGAATTTTATATTGATTATAAAGCAAATGATATAGGTAATCTTCCTAAAACTCTGTTTTCATTAAAAGATGACCAAATATTTTTGTTGATATAAATTCTACGTATATCTTTAGTGAGACATGAATACACCAGTCAAAATCATGGACATATCCCTCAGCGTGTAAGCAGAATGCATAAAAGCAGCTCGCTACTACAAAAATTAGAGGTCGCTATGCTCAGATTTACGAATATGTCTAAAACTTGATATTGTTTATTGATAAAAGTAGACCTACTATATGGTCATGAGATGATATTCAAATCAGTTTTAGTAACATCCGGAACGATAGCACAAATATTACGTACAATATGTACAAATCTAATTATTATTTTTTTGATTCGTTCTACATCATATTCTATTTTTTCCATGAATAGATCTGACACCTGTACTGATATTTCAGATCCCTTAAACATAAGCATTGTCGTTTTTATTTTTGTATAAAGAATTTCCTATGTGATTCAAACCGAAAAAAAAAGTGTTAGTAGATCATTCAGGATAGTGTGCGCTATACCGGCAGTTTTTTTTCTTTGCTTCTCATTAAACTTCTGAAAAGAGTCATACGTATCTTTATTAACGTTCATCATGCATATTGCTATCTCCTTCATCCTATCTCTTTATGCCTATTTATAATACAATACACATCAGTTGTGTTCTTTTTTTTTCTTTCTAAACTTTTCCTAATAGAACTTCATCACTTGACATTTTTCTCTCTTGCTACATACAGTTGTTATTGCGTGTACGTATGGGTAACAACCACTATGATAATTAATTTATGGTCATTATGCATCGAAGCGAACTAGTTCGAGGTCAGTTCAGTTCGGATTCACTTTTGACAAATCAATTCACGTTCCGCTAAATTAGTCCTCCCTATCAGGAATAAAAGATAGAAAGAAACTTGATTTCTGCATTGTAAGAGTGCGATTTATAGTTCACATGAATGTAAGTGAATACTAACTAATACAGTTGGAGATTAAAATAAACTTTTTAGTCTCAGCACTTAACTGTCAGCAGCCTTTTTAATATTAATATTAATCTCAAAGAACTACAGATGACTCTTTATTGTAATACAGAAAAATGGAAAGAGAAAAGGATAAAAGCATTATTCCGCACAGAAATACTCCATCTTTATAAACACACGATTATTGCAAATGTTATGATAAGAAACAGGCCAATAGAATATAATTATTAAATTTTGCATGTAAAACAATCGATCAAGACTCTTTTCAAATTGGTCAACCACATTATATTTTTATAAAATTGTTTATAAGGCTTCAATGTATCCGACTATCTTTCCAAAATTAGTTCGAATACGATTTGAATCGACTTCAAATTTTAGAAAATTACTTAAACAAACAACAGATATACAGGTTTTTACTGTGAATGGACCGACTGAAAAGGTAAAGCAAAAAAAGCTATGCTAAAGAAAGATTTAAATTGAAAAATTTCAGAAAACATCTTGACAGAATTTCCCTTCGTTAGTTTAAATCATTTACGTAAAGTAGCTAGATTATGCGAAACAAACCATATTGAATAATAGAATCCTTTTCTTTAATGTGTAATTGCAATGTGTTGAATAGTGATAGATTTTTCTTGAATAAATATCTTAAACGAGAAAGCTCATTATTTAATTGGATTTTTTTATAGTGGAGAAATTTTTCGCAAAAGTTTTGCTGTCGGGAGGAAAATTTTTATTTCATCAGCAAAATCTGCACCACTGTATCAACAGTATTTCTCGGTAGTAGCGAAATAACCGACGGTATGCCAGCACGATCAAAGTACGAATTTGCTGACCTGAAGTCTTACAAATCTAAGAAAAAACGTAAATTTTCATAGACTGCAAATTGGTTTACTAAATCTATTTTTTAAAAATCATCTAATTTTTTTGATTAAGTCATCAAAAGTTCTTTTTTGAATGAAATTTAGATGTTTCTGAGAAAAATTTAAATAATTATTACTACGAATTAAAAAATCCTTTTCGATAGATCTTACTGGCTCTTTCACGATTTTCGAAAGTAATTTAAAGATGTCATTCATAACGATAAACGATACATACATCCCTGAACAAAAGTCTTTCCCTCTCTTTCTTCTTGCCCAATGTATCATTGAAAAAAGAAAAATTTGAATATTTCTGTCATACTTTGGCTAGATGGGTTGATATTTTTATCACCGATAGAGGTGTGTTCGTAGCTTATATTCATAAGAGGAATATTAATAGAAAATATTTTGAAGTTTTATATCTTACTTCAACAGAGTCCAGTAATCCAATGCAGATCATAAATGAATACCGAACTTTGTGGAAGTCAAAAGTATGACAGGAATATTCAAATTTTTTAGTTTTTCAATGACATCCTAGACAAGAAGAAAGGGAGGAAACAACTTTTGTCCAGAAGTGCATATATTTCTTTCACAAAGATATTGAGTTTCATTCAAAGAAATATACATTATTATGAAAAAAGAACGACAAATCATAGAAGACTTATAGAACACAAGTCTACTACTACTAATAACAAAGGTACAGCGACACGGATGTCAGAATATGAGTCATCAATGTTTTTATTGGAAATCTGAAAAAGAATGCACAGGTATACTATATTTTTTAGAATAGCTTGTATCTGTACACCATTTTTTCTTGTGAACGAAGTTTACAAAATGTAAATTAGATGAATATTGTTTTGTGTGGCAATTATCTTTTAGGACAAGACGACATCCTAACAAAATTAGGAATAGATTCATCTTTCGTAAGGAAACTTAATTTTAGATTCGAAGATTTCCTGTCAAAATTTGATCAATGGTGTGGCTTGATCCTATAGATACTGCTTTAAATTATGTAGAGTGGGTGTGCGATTGTCTCAGTTGACATATCAGGGAAAGTCACACGCATACTCTAGTTACATGCGCAGTCCATACCTTTAGCATTGAAAACAAAGAAGATATATGAGTTCCATATTTAATCCCCATAGAGATTACACGCACCTGCTTGTCTTTAAAGAGATTTTTGCTGATCACAACTTTGAAAGTCTCTCAATAAGCTTTGTATGAGTACAAACTCAAATTGATTGATACTATCAACACAAGTTTCTGGCATTCCCAACCAGACCTATGACATAGTTCACCGATTGAAAAACATTTAGTCCATTAAGAAAATCAATCAAATGAAATCAAGCCGGACCAGACTCACGGTCGATAAAGCATCAGAAGTTCAAGCAAAGCATTCGTAAGTGACATCATCACACGAAATAAGCATTATTACCAAATTTAGACTTGATAATCAAGATATTGAAAACTGTCTTACATGGAACTCTTGTTCTTCATATTTTGCAAGTAGTTTGATTATGATTTTATAAGAAAAATAATCATATGTTTCAAAAATAATTTTTCATTATTTTGTTGAATTTTAGACCCATCAAAGGCATACACTCTACGACTTGTTTATTATAGCTGATATACTCGAATATTTCGCTGTGAAGATCAAATATCCTTATATCTTTATGATGCAAAAAGAGCTTGAAATATCTCTCAATAAAAATTAAAACTTCGATTACTAAAAGAATCCTAGAAGTACGAAAACTGCTTCTTTCTCTTTATATTTGTACGTGTCATTCATCATCTATTAAATAATCATAGCGAGATAGACTTGCAAGAGTAAAAATTCTTTTAAGCAATAAATTATTTCTTGAAAATATATTTGTTTAACGAATTCACATGGA